ATCATATATATATATATAGTGTTGCCTGAGATGCAGTTACTTGGAAATAGCTTGATCCTTTCAGGTCTTGCTTTTAAGTTTTGTTAGGTGAGGCAAAAGCCTTATTTAGGCTAATTATGCTCTGAGGCAAAACCGTTTTGAGTACTCTATCCATGCTCCATGAAATATGAGGTTTTCTACACTGGGTGAGAACTGCAAGCCCAGGGATTGTTCAGATGGCTCTTTTCCCTGCCTCCAGTGGTTTTCTGGCATACCTGTGATCAGTATTCTACTGAAGACTCCAGGAGGATTCTCTGTAGATCATTGAAGCTTTCTCTCTGTACTCCCTTTCTGATATTCTGCTGTGCAAGTTCCAGCTCTCTTGGTCTTCTAGGGGTTCCAGTTCCATCTCCTCACCTCAGAAAGACTTCTGATATTCATCTGGACTTCTTCTTACACTGTAACCTGGAAATTCTCTCAAAGCAGTATTCTAAGGAAATCATAGGCTACCTCACTTGTTTCCTGGGATGGGACAATTTATGCACCAAAGTGAGAATGACAGTGTAGCAGACAGAATAATGTCTCCCTAAAATGCTGAGATCCTAATCCACAGAACCTGTGAATGTTATATATAAAGGGTGTTTTGCAGATGTAATTAAGTTCAGGATCTTTAGATAGGAAGGTTATCCTGGATTTTCTGTATGAGCCCAATCTAATTACAAGGAACCTTTTAAGTTACAAAGGACCTTTTAAGAGGGACACAGGAGTGTAAGAATCAGAGATGTGATTACAGAAGCAGGTGAGAGAGAGAGAGAGAGATTTGAAGATGTTATATTGCTGGTTTTGAATATGGAGGAAGGGGCCTCAAGCCAAGGAATGCAGGGAGCCTCTAGTAGCTGGAAAAGACAAGAAAATGGATTCTCCCCTGGAGTCTCCACAAGGAATGTAATCCTATCAACATCTTGATTTTAACCCCATAAGACTTAATCTTGGAATTTGACCTCCAGAACTATAATAAGTTTAATGGTGTTTTAAGCCACTAAATTTGTGGTAATTTGTTACAGCAGCAATAGGAAACTAATATAATCACCAAATGGGAGCATGGAATATGAATAGAAAATAAGAGTTTGTGAAGACATGATAGTGAGGGGTGCCTGGGTGGCTCAGTCGTTAAGCGTCTGCCTTCAGCTCAGGTCATGATCCCAGGGTCCTGGGATCGAGCCCCGCATTGGGCTCCCTGCTCTGCAGGAAGCCTGCTTCTCTCTCTCCCACTCCCCCGCTTGTGTTCCCTCTCTCGCTCTCTCTGTCAAAAAATAAATGGAGGGCGCTGGGTGGCTCAGTTGGTTAAGCATCTGCCTTCGGCTCAGGTCATGATCCTGGAGTCCCGGGATCAAGTCCCACATCGGGCTCCCTGCTCAGCTGGGGGTCGGCTTCTCCCTCTGACCCTCTTCCCTCTCGTGCTCTCATTCTCTCTCAAATAAATAAATGAAATATTTAAAAAAAATAAAATAAATGGAAACTTTAAAAAAAAAAAGACATGATAGTGAAAGAACTCTTATTTGGGTTTTGAGAAAACTAGGACCTTTGCTTTCTTGACATCCTTATTCATGATATGCAAGTATGGCTACATCAAACCCAGAACAAAGTACCAGCTGTCCCTCCCACCCCCAAAAAAGAAAAGAAATTTTTTTTTATTCATGTGAGAGAGATAGAGGCAGAGGGAGAAGCAGGCTCCCCATGGAGCGGGAAGCCCAACATGGGACTTGATCCCAGGACCCTGGGATCATGACCTGAGCCAAAGGCAGATGCTTAACCGACAGAGCCACCCAGGTGCCCAAAAAAAAATGTTAAAAAAAAAAAAATATATATATATAGCATTATCTAGAAACTACATATTGTCATTAACAAAGGTGTATATTCACTCTGTATAGAGTCAATAATGTGTACTTCTAAATAATTTTATAAACAGGATTCTCTTCTTCTGTAAGGAAATAGTGGTGGAAGTCATAAAAGAGAGACAGAAAACCCATTTTTAGAATCAGTGACATTTCTGGAAGATAACTCTACACAAGCCTGACACATTAGGAAGTTTGTGCAGTTTTGTATGGGAACAAAATTAAATGAAAACAGTAGATTCTAAAAAATCATCAGCTGCTACTGATAGCTAACCACATGATATCATCAACAATTTCACTCAACTGACCATATCTGTCAATAAATTTGTTATGATCAACTATGTAGTACATAATGAACAAATGTGTGGATTTCCTAACATTTCCACAATGGCCTTAAGGAATAATTCCCCAGGATGGTGAAGAAATTCATTTGTGAAGTTTAGTCTTACAAAATATTTCATAGTTGAAAAATAAGATTTAGTTTACTAAATTGCAAACATTTATTCTCATTTACAAGTAAGGAACTAACACACACTATGTTCTCTTCAGAATATAAAACTTTATTATCCTCTTCAATTTAAGGTAGAACTGCATCAGTCTAGATCAGTTTCTTTAGCAAGATTACACACGTCAAGAATCTTCCATTCTACTTCCTTACACTTTTCTGTTTTTCAAAATGCATACTGTAGTAAATAGGATTAAGTGTGGCTCTACAGAGTGACTTAAACGAGAGCCGAGTTATTTCTCTCGCATGAAGGCCAGACGCAGGCAGTCACAGCACCTTCTCTGCCTGAGCAGCAGCAGTCGTCACAGGTTTCAAAGGACGTTCGCACTCACAGGACCTAATAGGCCTTAGGGGACTGAACCTAGCCCCAGACTCACTTAACTTCATAGGAAACAGCACAGCACCATGAGGCTTGTTTCAACAGGAGGCTTTACTCTGGCGCCCAAGTGTCAGTTCAAGTGTAAGGAGACAAGGTCATCTGGGTGGATGCAGAAGCCACGCTGGCTTAGAAACTTCACGCTTCCCAAGAACCAACTTCTCTTGAAACAGCCATGAGTGTAGCTTTCAGGAATCTTTGTAATAAGAAATACAGGGCTTGGGGCACCTGGCTGGCTCAGTCAGTAGACCATGTGACTCTTGATCTCAGGGTCGTGAGTTCAAGCCCCACGTTGGGCATGGAGCCTACTTAAGAATACAAACAAAAAACACATGGTGCTTAAGTAAGTCCAAAGTCCGTATTTTCCAATGGGCATTTATAGCGGTTGTAGTCTTCCTGGTCTAGACACAGTTTACCAATAAGGGATCTTTTTTTTTTTTTTTTTTTAAGTAGGCTCCACATACAGGGTGGACCCAATGCAGGGCTAGAACTCATAACCCTGAGATCAAGACCTGCACTGAGATCAAGAGTCAGACACTTAACCAACTAAGCCAGGCCCCCCAGGCTCAGGGGTCATTTTTAATCACAAACAATATTGCCTGACATCACAGTTGACATTCTATTATTATCTTCTCTAGTAGATTTCCAGAGAAACCGTGCCAAAAGGTAAACTTGAAGTCATTTTACCACAGGGAAAAAGAAAGGATTTATTAACCTTTATTTTTGGCAGTCCAGGGCAGCATCACATCAGGATCCAATCTTCTGTCTTGTTGCTCTGCCACTCATTGCTTCTATTTCCAAGGTTTCTTTACAATCCAAAAAGCCTCCTGAAGCTCTAGCCACCACATCCATGCTCCAGTGGAAAAAAAGAGAAGATGAACTGGCTCATCTCCCTTTATGCCTTAAAGTTTAAGGAAACTTTCCAGAAGCATCCAACACTCAACACTTATAATTCCATGTCACCGGCCAGAACTTAGTCATTTGGCCACATATTTACACATATATGGGTACACTGCTAACCTGAATAATTCTGGGACTGTTACAAAATAAAAAAGAACAGATACTGGGTCAGGTAATTAGCAAGGTGGGTCAGAGATAGGATGACGGAAGAAGCAAAAGAAGCAAGAGATTTACTGGCTTTGAAGAGAAGAGGACCATAAGCCAAGGAATGTAGGCAGCCTCTAGAGGCTGGAAATGGCCCTCAGATGAGAGCAAGAAAATGGGACACTGATCCTTCAATGGCAAAGAACTGAAATCTGCCAACAACTAAATGAACAAGGAAACAGAGTCTCCCCAACCTCCAACCTCCAGAAAGGAATGAAGTCCTGCCAACACCTTGATTTTAGCCCAGCCCATGTCAGATAGCTGAATTACAAAACTATATGATAATACACTTGTGTCATTTTTGTTTTAAGATTTTATTTATTTGACAGAGAGAGACAACGAGAGAGGGAACCCAAGCAGGGGAAGTGGGAGAAGGAGAAGCAGGCTTCCCGCCGAGCAGGGAGCCTTATGCGGGGCTCGATCCCAGAATCCTGGGATCGTGACCTGAGCTGAAGGCAGACGCTTAACGACTGAGCCACCCAGGCGCCCCCCACATTTGTGTCATTTTAAGCCACTAAGTTTGCAGTAATTTGTGATGGCTGCAATAAAAAAACGTATACACTTACCTTAATAAAACTTCCAATTTAAAGAAATTCAAAGAAGGGTCCCTATAGTCATTTATACCAGATTTTTAAAAATTCAATTCATATTGGGTCCTTAACGACTCTGGTATATTAAACTGTGCTATAATCAGAAATGCATGTATAGCCAACAAAACTAGCAGAATAGTGAACTGAAAGCTATACAATTATGTTATATAAAAACTCCAAAAAGCTCATTACTAGTTATAATGAGAAACATTTCATCTAGGAGTGATTTCCGAGGCACTATCTTGAGTTTCCATAAAAACATAACCTTCTGTCTCAGAAGAAGGGATATCAATAAGAGGACCAGAATTCTCTACTTCCAAGTTCAGTGATTTCCCCTGTTCATAATTCAGGTCTGAATTATCTTTTGTTTGAATTTCTTGCTCTTCCAACTCCAAAGATTTATCTGAGGCTGGAGCTACAACGTCGTCATCTTCATATTCATGCAGAAAGCTACAAATCATGTTGGGTCTATAGGAGAAATCATTGTCCTTGATTTGCAGCCATTCCACACCACCTAATGGGGGACGGTGAGGGATGGGAGAAAATATGAAAAAGGAATTTCAGTTACTTACACTTATTTCTCTTTAATTTTTTTTTTTTTTAAAGTAGGCTTCACGCCCAGTATGGAGCCCAATGTAGGGCTTAAACTCATGACGCTGAGATCAAGACCTGAGCTGAGATCAAGAGTCAGACACTCAACCAACTGAGCCACCCAGGCACCCCTCTCTTTAATTTAAATTTTCATCCTATGAATACATGTCAAAATAAAGCCCCAACATAAACCAATGAACATGGTACCATGACTACTGATAAACAATCACATTATTTTCATCTTACATGGAGACCCTGGAATGCCTATAGTATGTGCAACATCAAAACTCAGTGTAAGTGAAATATAGTCAATAATACTGTAGTAACT